TTTTTTTTTTTTTTTTTTTTAAAGAAAAAAATCTGCTAACAATAAAACTTCCATTCCTCTGCCCTTATGGCTGCAGTTGCCAACTGCCTGGATAATCTCATTCTGATGAGTTTATGGATGTAAGAGGCTGTGTTGCCACAATAGTGCACACCCAGTGTACGTGTGCTGTGTATGGTTCAAACAATCCGTTTTTTGCAAGCAGTTATGGCTCTGGAAAGCCTTGAAAAACATCTGCCATGAAATGAGGAGTCTCCCTTTTTTTGGGGTAAAAACCTTGTTAGTCTGCATAGACAAGGTGCTGCTTTTTGATAGCTCTGCTTGCACGGGAGCTGCAATAGCTTTCACAGCCCCCACAGCAGCAGCAGAACCTTTGAGATGCCAACCCAGAGACCTTTGCAGGGGAGTGCAGGAGAGAAGTTGCCAATAAAAGCAGCCTCTGGCGAGTCCTGCCACGCATGTGGGCAGAGAAGAGCAAAATGGTGAAGCCTGTAAAACTCCTCGTGTTGGCAGGAGCACCTTGCAGATTATCTGCAGTTCTGTGGGTGCCCTCCTACCCCACAGTTGCAGCTCTGGAGAATGTTGTTTTTTTTTCCAACAGTTTGCTTTTGGTTTCACATCCAGAGGAGTGTGGGATCGACTGATTACACGTTCCTTGTGATCTAGGCAGTTCCTGTTGCAGTTCCTAGGCATTGGTTTCATCATTAAACCAGCAGAGCTGCAGTTAGCACATACAGCAGAGAACACTATAAATTATTTATCAGTTGCCAAGAGACAGGAACCAGGAGAATGGAGGGCTGGAGGGAGAGGATTATATATCATTATTTGCAAGCATCAGTAAACAAGAATTTCATTGAATTCAGTCAYTGCTGCAGCGGAATCAGTGGAAATGTGGGTTTGGCAGAATGTGTTTACCTTTTACCTGARCACCACGACTGGGGCTGCTCTGTGGCTTCCGAGCAAAGCCTCAGGTGCCCAGTCAAGCAACAGAGCTCGGCTGCCAGCTCATTCTTTGTCTCCTCAGTAGACCCACAAAATTAACAGCCTGCCAGGCTCCACTCTTGCACTCCCTTCACCCCAAAGTTTCCTTGGCCTCTGTGGGATCTGAGGGTAGATGAGGAGTTTATCAGGGTCTGTCAGTGAATTGCTGCTGTCTGTTTGCGCTGTGCGCTGGATCCTGACCTTTCCCAAAGGAAGCTCCGTGGCTCCRCTGCTTTGCCTCTGGTGTGAGACGATGCCTGGCTCTCCCTGCTGCAGTTCCTGCCTCTGCAAAGTGTTTGTGCCCAGGGGTTGGCATTGTGGTTTTTAAAAGATGATTGTTACACACGGTGCTTGGTGAGTGAGCAGTGAATGAGGAGCCGTTAACTCCTGGGCCCTTAACGAAGGCGAGCAGCCAGTCGTGTCCCAGCATCGAGCCACAAAAGGCAGGTTTTGGTGAAACCTGAAATGAATGGAAACTATGAAAATTACCCAAACATCAGTGCGGATTATTTATAAACTGAAGGCTTCCCCCTCTAACCCCAGACACCTCAATGCAGCTGTAAATATTGCCCAGGCTATAGGGAACAGAAAGAGAAACCACGAGGAGCCTCTCTCCTTCCTCCTGCTGTCCTGGCAGGGGAGGCACTTGCACAGCAGACAGCACGGAGTCAGTAGTAAATCCTGTTTGGAAAAGTAGTTTCTAGCTTGTTGTAATCAGAGAGCTCAACTGTAATGCAAGGCAAAGGATGTGTCTGTGTCAGGGTGACTCGGAGATCCGGCTTCTGAATTTAGGGATCAGGCCTGGGGCTCAGCCTGGAGCTCTGTGACTGTGCCTGGAGGCACCTGGCAGTGCCAGCGTGTCCCTGTGGCTGCTGTGCTTAATGTGATCAGGTGATGTGGCACAGCTCCTTGGTGTCCCACTCTCAGTCCTCTCCTCTGGGGCTCAGGAGCTGGAGGCAGGTCTGAGGCTGTGCAGGGAGCAGGGATTCCCTGGTTCTCCTCTTTGCTTGCTGCTCTGGACACGGGCAGCATCTGGCAGATGCATTCCTGTGGCTGTGCCTCAGCAGAGGAGCTATCTGTGTGGGAGATCTACCAGTGGCTGAGTAAGTGACTGAGCTCTTGCAAGCATAAAGCTGTCTCTTGTGGCAGGATCCAGCYCTTTCCATGTCTGCACTGGGTTCATTGCTCCAGAGACCCCACCCATGTGGAGTTACTTGTTTTGGTGGCCCCCTGCCTCTGGCCCACATTTGGTCTCCAGCAATGTMAGAAAGAGTTAAATCTCTTTGAGTTCAAAATTTCATGCGTTGATGCTGCTGCAGTTGGGAAGTGAAGAAAGTCCCTCTTTGTGTCAGCCCAGCCTCCCTCGCAGCTGTTTATCCTTAAAATTTCTCTATTGGGTTAAAAATAAGAAGAAACAAACTTTCATCTTTTCTGTGGTCATGCTTACAAAAGGGYGCCCGCTGGCCGTGCTGTGCCCAGCCTGTGTCAGCTGGCATCCCCCTSCTCCAGCTTCCCAGTGCCCATTTCCCAGAGCTGGAGGCTGCAGGATCCCATCCCACCCCGCTGGGCTCATGTGGATGGAGCACCCAGCACCTGGTGTTACCCTGTGCCAGTAACGTGGAAGCTTGGGGGATTTCCTAAGAAATGTCCAAATCCATTTTCCAAACGGCTTCAGCTGCTGCTTCTCATGCATGGTGACTGCTGTCCAGACCAAATGCTTGCCAGTCAGAAAGAGAACCCTTTTTTTATTATTTTATCTTGTAGTTTTAAAGCACAGACATGTATTTATAAATAGATCAGATGGCTTTGAGAATTTTCTTGAACATCTGCTCCAAGATGGCAAATGCTGGTGTCAGACCCAAGGGTTTGRTGTGCTGTTTGTTTTGGGTTTGGGATGCAGTTTGCTCATGTTCTCTCTGTAAAACAATACAAAAGGAGAGCACGGTCTGATACAGTGACCTCACACTYGGCTGTGTGGGTGGTGTAGCTCAGGGCAGTGACAGACCTGTGGCAAGGGACAGCTCTGAGTGAAGGATCTGAGCCATTGCTGAGCAGTCAGGGCTTGTGTGTGCAGCAGAGACAGGCTGAGCTGCCTCTAGCTTTGTCTTTACAGCACAAAGCTTGAGTTGTGCCATCTTCTCAGTGGGATTCTGTTGCCTCTGATGGATTTTCTCTTCAGCAGCAGAGACCTCATTCTTTCCCCTTGCTGCAGGAGCTGGGGAGTGGCAGATCCAAAATTCTCCTGTGCTGCTCTGGCTGGTGCCACAGAGTCCCGATGTGGCAGATTGATGCACACRTCTGAACTTCCAGAGCAGCCCAGCTTGTGCTTGATCTCATGTTTCCTTTGAGCAGCTGCTGGCATATGGGCCCCAGCTCGTAGTATTAAAGCACATGCCCAGTAATTCGAATGATGAATGCAGCCCTGGGCATCCTGCCTCGGAGCTGAGGGCACCAGCCAGGGAACCAGACAGTTGTTGTGCTGATAATTTGGTAGCAAGGACACCGGGTCACTTCTAAATATGACTTTTATGAAGAACTTGTTCCCCATGGATGGGAGCAGGCTGCATACCARGGCTAAATATACTCCATGATCACAAAAGATGAAAAGTTGTGGACCTCGGAGTTAAAGCTCAGTCTCCTGTTTCTCAGTCTCCAAGTGCTGTAAACAGGGTTGTGCTGTCCCCCTGTCACCAGCTTTGAGCATTTTAGCTCTCCTGTGTCAGAGGTGAGCTGCTCTGGCCAAGGCAGCACAGGCTGGGAAAACCACGCTGGATCCAGGCATTCCCTGTTATTCCAGCTTGTGGGAAGGTGTGCAGGCATTGGGTTGAGATGTCTTAAATGTTCTGCTACAACAAAAGCATTGCTGGTAGCAGAGATCACAAACTCTTAAAATGGAATTTGAGAAATGACTTAATTATTTGTTATATCAGTGTAGGCCTTCTTTTGTCAAAAAGAGATATTTCATTGCTTCTTCCATTGTTGAAGCTTTCTACTTCAAAATACTTCATTTCTCCAAGGAAGGGGTTTTGATAAACCAAATGTGTGG